AGCAACACACACGGATCTCTTTTGGGGAAAAAAGGCCAACTTTATTGTACAGACATCCCATATTTAAAGTGTGTTATGTGCAGCTAGGACAGGACAGTAGCTCATTGGACAATTGGGACAAAAGTCTCTTGGGACAGCATGTCTGGATGTCCCGTGGGAAAGACACCAGGTGTTAATCTTTATTATGAATTCCCTTCTGTTTTTCACCAAGTTATCACTCTGGGAGACTGCCTCCCTTAACTGAAGCTGTAGTCAGCTTGTCAGCCTGGGAATGGACCTGAGAGACAGGAGAAATCCAGGCCTGAAAGGAATTGCCAAGCTGTAATTCCCTAGCTCTCTAAATGCGTGTGTACACACGTACCTTAGGAGAAAGATGGACGTGTTTGGCTAAATTAGCCCTAAATGTCCTCTGGTTGATGCCTGGGAAGGATTTTTACAGGGATTCAGCTGAGAACAGAGACATTGAGGGATATAAGCTCATTAGACTTCCTGTGTTATTTTCTTAAACTAGCCTGTGACGCACCATCCATGGCTAGGTGCTGTATTGTGGAGTTATGATAAAGTGAGGAAATAAAGTCCAAGAAGAAGTGACAGTTTCCTGATAGCATGAAGTGTGCCTGTATAAGAGAGTTTTCAGAATGAACAGACGCTTGTATTGAGTGGAATATAAGGCCACACAAGGCTGCCCTGTATTTCTATAAGGATGGATTCTTGCACTGAGGTCTTAAAATATTCTTCCTAGTTTCAGTTTGAAGACTAGGATGGCAACAGATAATGACGAAGAATGTGTGTTGACTCTGAGCAATACTGAATGCTTACAAAGTTTGCAAGACAAACATTTGCAGTACACAGAATAAGAACCAGACCACGATTAAGAGATGGGAACTGGATTGTTAGTACTACTGCCCAAAAAACCCACCTTGAAGACAGGGCAGAAAATTGATTTAATATGAGCTTCTAGTTACAACACAGTGGTTACAGGAGCAAGGTAACTGCTGGATATATGGCTGAAGTGATGAAAGATCCTTGCCTGAGAGAGGAGTAAAGATCTAGCTCCATTGTGGCAGGAAGGCTCAATGATCCAACACCAACTTCTGTGCAGGGAAGCAAGATTTTTCCAAGCCCACATGTGTCACTAAGGGAAGGCTGATATAAGGCTGACAAAATCCCCTGGTCACAATGTAAAATCTGATTCTTTTTCCTTACAGGGTTTCCTGCTGAGTCCAAATTTGAAAGCTGGTCTGTCAGAGAAGCTGTGGGACACTGAGTGGATGGCTGGAACATGCTACAGTGACAAAACCAGACTCCCAAGACAGCTGGACAGAATTGTCACTTCAAAGCTGTGGCAACATGCTTATGTTAAAGCAAATAAACATCTCTTTCTCCCTGCAGAGTAGCAATGATTTTACCTTTGTATATGTCATTGGTGTAGGTGCTGCAATACTACTTCTTTTAGTTTAGCAATGCAGGAAAGTTACTAGAAAACTTGAAATAATCAGAATGGTTAGCAGGAGGATGAAAGGGTTGGAAAAATCAACAGTTTATAAAACTTAAGCTTGAAGACGAATGTAAGAGGAGCCTTGATCATGATGTACTAATACCTACACTGGACTAGAAATCTTGTAACAAAGGGATTTTCAGTTTATTGGTCAATGATGTAAGCAGATTCGATGGTTAGAAAATGAAAGCTAAGAAATTAATAACACAAGTAAGTCACATTTGAATAAGAAAGGTGACAGTGGGAACAATTTACCTATTATTTCATTACTGTTTATTTTGAATCAAAACTGAATGCCCTTCTGAAGAGAGCATTCTAGTTCTCTCTCCCTAAATAACTGATAGTGGCCTTAGTGTATAAAACATTCATATCTGTACTTTTCTGTTAAGCAAAAATGATAACCCGTTATGACTTAACTTGCTTTTGCTACTAAACTATGAAACAAATGCAACCCACAGTCGTTATTAATAAGGAATTGTCTTTTTACGTTTTGTGCTTAAAACAAGGTTTACAAATATAATTAATGCTCAGTGAACATAAGCTTTTTCTCTTTTGTAAGCTGACAAAATGAAGCAGCTTGGATTGCAAGAAACTAGGTTAAACACTAGCCTTCTTGACATAAAGTCAAACTGAATTTATGCTGAATAATTTGATTGGAAATTAGATCCAATTATCTTAAATTGGTCATTCCAGACTAACAGAGCAATAAAGGGCAGTGTGTTCGTTGATGTATTTGACCTTGATATTACAATCATGTCAAAACATGTAAGCACTATAATTCCAACCTAATTCATACTGCACAGTGCCCTCCCAAATGCTGTGCTCAGAACAGATGATAAAAGGGGTGTTGGTCTTTCAAACATACCATGTCTTTCTGATCTAAAGCAGAAAATTACTTCTGGATTTTAAATTGACAGAATTTAAAAAATTGCTTTGATTGATAAGATTATGACTATCACCAAAATGAGAATAGTCAAGACTTTTTCTTAACGGGGGGGTGGAGGTGATTTAATGTTCAAATATTGCCCAAAGAATAAAAAGCAGAAGACCATTAAGAAAACAATTATATTCTTCTACAGCTCCAATCCTCATGTATGCCTAGAGCCAAAAGAAATAAATGATGGGTATCTCCTATTTCTCAAACTGTGCATAATGCTTCAGAACAATAATGTAAGCATTGTAAAATTGATACGAAGCAAAATATGTTGCTGGAGAGCAACTGGCCCTGCATAAAACTGCTTAGGTGAGTCTTTCAGGAGTGGTGGCCCCCAGCACTTTAACACTGATGATTATCCATGACTATCCATGAAATTCACTGATTATCCATGAAATCAAAATAAGAGATGAAAGTCCATATTTCATTCCTTGATTGCCTTCTCTATATAACTTCAAGACCTACATAAGAATTTCAATGGAGAAAGAGAGACCTACACTCAATAGCAGGCCTGTCTTTTTTAAAACCATATTTTCTTATGTGTATTAATACTACTACCTTATCATGTAGGTTATTAATATGACATTGTCAAAGCGCAGTTTCCATTCCATGACATATTGGGGAATCCTATTTGATTTTTTTGGTTTTGTTATTTGTGTTGCAAGTCTTTCACTGGACTAATACTGTACTGGAATTTTTAAGAAAAAAAATTATATTGGAATTTTTCATAGTAGTTTCTAATGTAAAATCTACTTTTGAGAACCTAATCTGTAGATATATTTGACTGCTTGTGAAGAGAGAGGTAATATAGGTGAGAAAAGCAGAAAGGAAGAAAAACTGAACAAAACTGAATAAACCAAGCCTCTCACCCTAGAACTATGTTACTGGGTTGTAGCATAATCTGGAGTTGTAAATCATAAATTGTCATCAACAGTCTTGTTTGTACTGAGGAGGTAGTGAAGCAAATGAGAAAACTCGCTAAGCTGAGTGTGGAAATTTCCTAAAGAACCTAGTGTGTGCATAGTCATCACCTTTCAGTCCATCACTTTTTTCAGATTTTTTTATTTCAAAGAGGATTGCAAATCCTATTAGCTTTCATTTGGAAACAAGGGCAGGGCAGAAAGCAGCAGTGTTCAGTGGATTTATTGAATCCAGCAGTGCACCACTGGATTTATTGAAACTTTCTCCATTTCTCTAGATCATTACATCTTTTGTTTCCAGATTACATCACAAAACAGCAAAAAATAAGTGTCTTTAAAATATCTTCAAAAATGGTGAAGAACACTGGAAAGCAGTATGATATAAACAGAAAATTACCACAAACAAGTCTGTGCCATCATTCAAAGACAGCGTGAGAGCAGGCAGAAGTGTTCTCTCCCCAGGAGAACCGTGTGGAGTGCTGCATGAGTGACGGTTCTCATCAGTGCTCGGGCCCCATCCTCATGGGGGCTCTCCTTGGCATGAGTTCACTGGAAGCCGGTATTCCCTAGCACCTCCTGGCACTATTGCTCTGCATGCCAGCCTACCTGAGCTCCAGTCTGTGCACTGAAATGCCAAAGAAACCCTGGAAGAACCACCAGTGCTGTTATCTCATGTTTTTCAGGGTTAGAGTTAGGGTTGTGGTACTTTGCTGCTCCCCTGCGTGACACGACTGTTACTTCTGCCAAATTTCCTTTCAGTTTTAAAGAAAAAAACCCAACCAACCAACCAAAACAATTAAACAAAGCTGGAAACCAGGGAAAGCCTTGCAAACCTTTGTGAGTGAGGTGATGCAGCAAGGGGCAGTCTTTGGTCAGGTGCAGGGTCAGGTGGATGCTCACCCTGGAGCTGTGGCTGGACAAGGGACCCAGGGCTTCACCAATTTCCATAAGCAACCACTGCTGAGGGCTTCCCAGGCCCAGCGAGCAGCCGAACGGGCCCAGCTGCACTGGCCGTGCCCAGTTCTGGGCTCCTGAGGACAAGAGAGACATGGAGCTCATGGAGCACCTCCAGAGAGAGCAACAAAGGTAACTAAAGAGACGGAGCATCTCTTTTATGAGGAAAGGCTGTCAGAGCCGGGATTGTTCAGCCTCAAGAAAACGCGATTGCGAGGTGACCTTACCAGTGTCTGTAAGTCTCTGAAGGGAGGATGCCAAGACCAGGCACCAGGCTTTCCTCAGTGATTCTGAGCAACAGGACAAGAAGGCAGAAGAGAAGAAGAAAGAGGACAACGGGCAGAAAATGATGCCCAGGAAGGTCCACCTGAACTTGAGGAAGAACTTTACTTAGCAAGTGACCGAGCACTGGAACAGATTGCCCAGAGGGGCTGTGGAGTGTCCCTGTCTGGGGATAATCAAGAACAGCATGGACAAATCCCGTGCCATGTGCTCTGGGAAGACCCTGCTTGGGCAGGGACGTTGGACCAGGATCCTGCTGCTCCCTTCCAGCGCGCCTGGGAGGCACCACCACGGCCGGGCCGGCTGCGGGCCCACGTGAGAGGCGGGCGGGGCCGGGCCGGGCCGGGCCGCGCTCTGACCCTCGCCCGGGCCCGTACGGCGGCTGCGCGGCGGGCGGGCGCACGGCGGGGCCATGGAGCGCGGCGGCGACACGGGCGGCTGGCGGCTCCGCGCCACCGCCGCACAGCGCGACCGCCGCCAGCCGCCGCCGCGGGAGGACGGCGACAGCGGCGCGGGCGGGAAGAAGCGAGGCGGGCGGCGGCCGCTGCTGCCGCTGCCCGAGGCCCGGGGGGCGCCGCTCGTGCTGCTGTACCTGCTGGGGCTGCGGGCGCTGGCGCAGGTGTCGCACCGGCAGCTGCTGAGCCGCCCGCCCGCCGCCGCGGGGCCCCGCGACTTCAGCGCCTCCCGCGCCAGGTACAGCGGCCGGGGGGCGGCCGGGCTGGGTGGCGGTCCCGGGCAGAGGGGTCGTGTCGTGCTCTGCTCTGGTGAGAGCTCGGAGCCGGTGGAACAGCGCGTCCCCCATAGTTTAGTTCTAGTAGTCTAGTGTAGTGCTCCGTGTTTGAGAAATCTGCTTTGCAAACTTTTAATTGTTGTGTCACCGAGGCGTCAGGAGGACTGAAACTATAACTGTAATTCCAGTTTTGGAGTGTTAACCTGAGGTGTATGTCTTGATAAAAGTATGCTTTTTCAAACATTCAGAAAAGGGCATGTATGCGTATACAGAACCTCGCTGAAGGTAAAATCTTTAGCTTATCCATGCTTTTGTTTCTTTTTGAGTGATATGTTCAGATTAGAAAACCAGTACAAAGGCTTAATATCATAGTAGTTAAGATAAGGAGTAAAAGACCAGGCCTAAATGCCCATTACAAGTTACCATCTAACTGGCTTTAGTCTCTTTTGCTTACCTTGAGTTTTGAAATAGAACCATGTACAAAAATGTTACAGTTGCAGATAAGTTACATGCTACATGTTGAATGTATTGATGCTTAAGTTTTAATTTATGTCTTACAGGGGGTATCTTGACAACATTACAGCAATTGGGCCCAGAACAGTTGGAAGTCCAGAAAATGAAGTTCTTGCAGTTAACTACCTCTTAGAACAAATTAGGGGAATAGAAAGAGAAAGCACGGATGCTCACAAGATATCTGTAGACATACAGAGACCCACGGGCTCCTTCAGCATTGACTTTTTAGGAGGCTTTACTAGTTACTATGCAAACATAACCAATGTGGTAGTGAAGCTGGAACCTCGCAATGGAGCTGAGCATGCAGTGTTATCCAATTGTCACTTTGATTCCGTACCAAATACCCCGGGTAGGTCCGTGTGTTTGTTCCATATTTCCGTGTGTTACGTGAGCCATCGAGCTTGGCTCATGGATTTCTCCTACCAAGTAGCCACGTTAGAATAATGCGTATGTCAGCTAGTCAACTTGGTCTCAGTGAAATTCGTTGTTTAGAGTGACAGGTTGATCCTGTTAAACTCAGGATTTCACACTCACTTTCTGGTAGGCAGCAATTTAGAGATGGTTATTTAGATTTCTGGGAAGTTTGGTTATATCTACACTTCTTATAATTCAGTGCTTATGCATATAGTTCATGTGCTGATTTAATCCTGCTTTTCCTTTCACAGGATGCTTTGTGCCAGAGACTATGCCTACGCCCACTAACGAGTCTAGTTTCCCCTCCTTTTACTGGTACCTCAGATTTTCAGTCTGATATGCTTAAGTTAGGCCAGGTTTTTTTCTTTGCACATTCAAAGCTTCTGTCTCAAAAGACTGTAGTGATCAAAGGCTGGGGTACTGTTGTCTCTTTTACTGCTAGTTTGACTGTCACTGTTGTGTATTCTCTTGTTTTTGTTCCTCTGTATTTTTAAAATCTAGTCTGTTAAATTGTTACTCCAGCATAAGGGTGTAGGCTGCTTTGTAAATTTGTGGGCTTAACAAAGCCAGGAAGGTATGGATCTAAAACACAGAATTTGTTGTAACACTCAGCCACAGGTGTGTGCCTGTTATTACAATCGAAAAACACCCACAGATGGCACTCAGCAGTGATGCAGCTTTTGCTGGAGTTTATTCATTTACATCCCACTCACTATTTTACTTTTTTCGTGGTGAATCTTTTGTTCTTTAGCACATGTGACTAGTCTTTGTTATTAAGGGAATGGTTGAGTATTAGCTAGAGAAACAGAGCTTTTGCTGGACTCCTGCCTTTTTTCTGTCCAAAAATAGTATACAGAACTTCTCTTTCTCCTCAATCATATTTATACAACATGAGTTTCTAAATCAAGCTTAATAAATGCAAGATTATACAGGCTCTGTGATTGAGGAACTGCAGAGGTGCTAATTACTGTATGCATAGTCTTTGTATGTCTATTGGGACTTGAATATTTCACAAGCATAGTACTGTGATAATTAAAAATTGTTTTCAAATTAATGTCCTGTGTTAATTATGTGTCAGTTTCTGTGGTTTATGAATCAGGATTATGTTTACATCAATTACTTTCTTTACAGTTATTCAGACACTAAAATATTTCACCAACCTTGCACTGAAGTGCCAAAAAAAGAGAATGGTTTGTATAGGATTTTACAGAAATCTGCAGAGGAGCTGGAAATCAGCCTGTGTGCTTGTTCTTATTCACAAAGCAGCCTAGCCCATTATCACATCAAGGAGCTGCCCTGCCTTTCGTTTTCTTAGTATGCAACTTGCACATTACCTAAGCAAGAACCTCTTGTTTTCTCTTCTTCTGTATTTCTTTTAGCTGTTTGCTTACAGCCCGTTTTTGCATTACAAAAAAGGTCGGCTTTGCAGACATAATGTGGTTTTCTTAGGTTAATGCTATCTGCTGTAAAATTTGTTACAACATCCAGTCAGTTTTGTTGTGTGTGAGGTATTGGGGTATATTTTTCTGCAAGTTTCTTTAGTAGTCTGTGGCAACATGGCTGCTTTTATCAGATGTAAATCTGTATGGCTCTTGAAGCCAATAATTTTTATTTTTCTTCGCCTCGCAGCAAGGCAGGTAAATGACTAATCTGACTGTGAGCTGTATGCATCTGCTGAGTTTTTAATACACCATTCTCAATAAAAGAACTCAGTGTGGCTAAGAGCAGACTCCTAATAAATTTGGGTAGCAATTAAGGTCTCTTCCAACTCAGAATGTTCTGTGATACTCTGTGAAATTAGTGAAAACCTGTGATAATCAGGGCTTTAAATCAGGTAGTTGGTTGGCAATCTGTAGAAAGCTTTTGTGAGAACAAGACCATAATTTCTGAGAAGTAGGATAGAGAATGGTGTATTGGAAAGATTTCGAATTTATTTTTTCTGTGCAATAAATGAAAGCTAAAATCTAGACTAAGGTTTATGTTTATATTAGGAGTATGCCCTTTTCATAGCAGATACTTCTTAAGTTTTGCCTGGTAACAAGTTTTGGAAAAGCTGCTCTTTTTTTCAATGTGTGAATTGGATATTTTGAGCAGCTAACAAGTGTACCTAAATAATATGCCAGGGCCTGACCACACCATTGTCAGCATCTCAGTGCGTGACAGCAACATGTGTGCAGCCCGGGCCCAAAGGAATGAGGTTTAAATTTCTGATTTCTCCCAAATATTTTTTATTAGAATGGGATAGGGAGGTGCTACAGCTTGCACAAAAGTGAGGGAAGTGGGAAAATAGGAGACCTTGACTAAAAGATAGATGCTTAATCAAGATAAACAGTGAGGCGTGGGAGGTGTGAGTGTTGGATGAGAAACTCAAAGAGAACAGAGATTAAAGTGAAAGGGGTTTCTGCAGGGAAAGAAGGGTTGTGAAAAGCATCTGATCATGAAAATCTTTTATTATAATGTATACCTTATGGAGGTTTTAAAGGTGTTCTGATACTTCCTTAGCTTTATTTTGTGGTCTTAGCTTTATGTTACTTTGAGGTTTTGTCCTCCTAATTGACTGCACTGTAACAATGTAGAATGCTTTAGGGTGACTTGTGTGGGAATGTTTATTTTTTTTTATATGTGAAATGAAAATGAGTGAAAATTACATCCTTATTTATTCATGTTCTATTTAGGAAAGTAGATAATGATCACATTGCTTTACTAGTAACCTGGTTAGTCTGCTTTTCTTGAACAGTAGTGTTTGATCTGATATCTTATAATTTGCTTGCTCAACTTCTGAACATAATTTTTCTTTTAGCTGTTGCTTTCAACTAATATAGACGTAGGGTACAAGCAGTACCAGAAAAGTACTGAAGCTTAACATAATTGTACTGTAGTTATATTAAGTGACTGAAATAGAATAAACCATTTTTTCTCTTTTGTCTTTGTTGCAAATATGTGCATTTGTTGTAAACCTTATCATTTGCTGATTATTTTAAGGTGCCAGTGATGATGCTGTTAGCTGTGCAGTGATGCTTGAAATACTTAACACACTTTCAAAATCATCAGAGTCCCTGCAGCATGCTGTCATATTCTTATTTAATGGTGCAGAAGAAAATATTTTGCAGGTGAGAATGTGTCAGAATTATAAATTATACATCAAAGCAGTATATTAAAACTTAAGAAATGAAAGATATGGTTTGTGTTAAATCTCTTGAAATAGTCACTAATTTCCTGTCTTTTCTAAGGAAAATGTGTATGATTTCAAAGGGAGAAATGCAGTTGGATTAAGAATATTGTCTATATTAGTTTAAGTAGAGGACTTCCATTTTCTGCATCTTTTTGTGTTATCTACCTTGTGCAGTCTTGAGTTATATGCGGTCTTGAATGATGGAAAATAACATTTAGGCTTGTCTGGTAGATATTTGACCTATATTTTTTTGTTTTCCCATCAAGGCTAGTCATGGCTTCATTACACAACATGAGTGGGCTAAGTCAATCAGAGCTTTTATTAACCTGGAGGCAGCAGGTGTAGGAGGAAAAGAACTTGTTTTTCAAACAGGTATGAGCTTGCATTGTGTCCAATTTCTACACTAGGATAATTTGATAATAAATGATGCAGACTTGAAGGAGTAGTGAAAATTACTCATAAGAAAAGGACAAGAGAACCTCTGTGCCATTTTCCCAGTCCTGTGTAGCAATTAAGTTGTTCTCAGTCTTCAGATAGTTACAGGTGGGGAGCTTGTGGAGGGCAGAATAATAGAAGTTGTGTTTCCCTTTAACTTCAAGATAAAAAGGAGAAAAACATTTGGATAGTACATATATCTTAATACTCATACTTTCGTATGTTCTATTTATTTTTCACAGCAGTTCTTTTAAAATCTTTGCAGGAAGGTGTTGACATTAGAACTCCATTTCATGCTCAGGAAGCAGAAAAACTTCTGTGTTTTATAGGCTATGGTTAGACCTGTGCCACATCCTCGCTGGACTGTGGACTTGTACTGCTGAAGCTTGTGTTTACTTGCACTGACTGAATGCTTTAGCAGGAGAAGCTTTTTCTAAACAACAGTATTGATGTGTGATACATGATGGATTGGAAGCTTGGCTAAAGGTTGTGACTTCTTCGTTAATGCAGGGTCTTTTTGGGACATGGCTTATTTGTTCTGTCACTGAACACGGGAGGCAGCAGTGGCTTGGAATTTTTTCTCCCCCCAGGTGTAGCTAATTCTTTCTCTCAAGTGTGAGTCATTCATCCAACACAATTGTACTTACTATATGCTCTGTGGGCCAACAGTGTTAAATCCTCCAGTGAGTTACTTTGTGTTGTTACCATGAGGATGCATATCCTAACTGAAGTTCAAAAAATATTTGCTGTGAATTGTCTGCTCCTCTTTTCTTAGGACCTGAGAACCCTTGGTTGGTACAAGCATATGTAGTTGCGGCCAAACATCCCTTTGCCTCTGTGGTGGCACAGGAAATATTTCAGAGTGGCATTATCCCAGCAGATACTGACTTCCGTATCTACAGGGATTTTGGCAATGTTCCAGGTATGTTATCAAAAGGCACGTCAATGCACATTACATTTAAAACAAGGACATTGTTCTGTGGTTGACTATGTGAACATCCTCAAATTTGGTCTGTCTCTCACACCGGGAGGGAATTTTCCTGTTTCTTTCCTGAGGAAGGAGTCTTTAGGTTGAGTTTGTCGTATAGTTTGCTAGGGACGTTTTTAGACAGCTGGTATTTTCCAGAAAGAAAACTGCATGTTAGAAAAGTTTCCTGAAAATCAGGAAAAACTCCAGGAAGCAACAGCACTTTATTAAATATTCTATTTAGAAACAGAATTTTGATACGTTTTGGTACATGATGTTAATAACCTGCTTGCAGGAATGAAATGTCTGTATCTAATGGATAAACCAAAATCATCTTCTTTAGAGATAGTGACGTAGTGATTAATGCATTTTCATTACCCTTAGGTTTTGTGTCGTTGGGGATTTTTTGGTTGTTGTTTTTTTTTGTTGTTTTTCTTAAGTTCTTGTGGATTATTTTTTCCCCTTACTGGTGGCATTGTTTTGTTTTGGGGGGTTTTGTTTGTGTTTTTCCATAGTTAAGGGCAGGACAGAATCTGTTTACAGGTTGCTGTCCTTTCTGTGGAGAAAGAACAGTGGGAAAGAAATGTGAAATGTTCACTCATTGTGATCACAGTTCAAAAGACTGTATGTAAACTTCTGTAAAGTCCTTGTTGTCCAGGACAGGTTGTCACTGGAGTCACTTTCAAGAAAAGTGGTATTTTTTAATTGATTGTTAGTACAAAGCAGTTGTTCTGGCATATTCTGTACTGTTCTGAAGTGCGCTTCTAGTCTGAAAATAAAGCAGCTGATTTTGTACAATGTCTTCTTTGTTCAGAATCATACCTGGATAGTAAATGATTTCTCACTGACCTCTGGGAGATTTTTTATAAACCAATTTTAAAAATAGTTATGTTAAAAAACTGGTTTGTTCCTCAGAATTGAGACCTAATTTGCCAGAAATTGTGAGAACTCAGGTTGCAGATAGCAGCTTTTTGCATATGCAGCTGAAGAGTTGAATGGGATACCCTGAATGTATAACTAATGGAGCAGAATAACCTTTGGGTTTTGGTAAATGCTTTTGTTTGTTTGAACAAATAATATTTGGACTTTGAAATGAAGTATTTTCAGAACTAACTCTCTGAAAAATTGTTTACACGTTAGAAGTACAAAGAGCACACCCGGTATTTTGAGAAAGTGCTCTGTAGTTTCACAGCTGCTTTTCATTACTTTTCAGCATGAGCATTTATTGAAGTGTTGCGAGTAAACATTTGGCAAGCACCTTGTACATCTTTTCTGAAGCTGAGATGATCTGGTCTTTTCATGTCTTTCTCCAGTTGCGTACAGATGTCATGGGAATTGGTACATGCAAAAGGACAGATACTTTAAAATGTTTTAAATCTATTTTCTCTTGAAGATGCTGGAAGCCAGTTTTCCTTCTGAAAAGAAGATTATTTTGTTCATCTCTAAGGATAATGACTGGGTTACAAAGTAGAGCAACGTTTTCTGTGAAGTGTATTTGTTTTGGGGTTTTAGGATTGCATAGACTTTAAAAAGGCTTCTTCTCTTTCTGTAGGAATAGATTTGGCTTTTATTGAAAATGGCTACATTTACCATACAGAGTATGACACATCAGACAGAATTTTGACAGATTCCATTCAGAGAGCAGGTTGGTATTCTAAGAATTCAGTAATTTACCAAAGAGTAGTGTTGTAGCTGCTCTTTCATTTTGCTGTAAGACTGCTGTAGTGATATATTAATAATTTTAATTACACATTTAGTGCATGTTGGTTGTGTTCTCAAAACCAAAGAATCAACTGAATACAAACCTTTTAAATAAAAAAGGAAATCTGTTTGGCCAACTTGGGAAGATAGACTTCATCAGCATCCAGTGATGTTAATTAGATTCCACAGTTCCTTTCAAATCAAAGTTATTGTCTATCCATTGTTCAGCATTCTGTGTTCCTTTTATCCCACTAAGTCTCATTATTGGTTAATGTTTCTCATTGGGAGCTTTTGAGTGGGTTGGTGGCATAGACTGATCTGCCAACAGAGGTTTTTGTATTAGAATGGACCTCAGTCAAACTTAATGTGGTAGCACACAGACTGGATAAGCAGGATTTATTTTCTGGAACAGGTTGTGCTCAGGCTATTTGACAGACTGCAGTAAAGAAAATTATGAAGACTTTAATTTCTCAGGAGAACCTAACATAATCCTAAATGCCTCCAGGATTTTGATTATACACTCTTCAAGTTTATATAGAAGCCAGCTTAGATGACCAGCCTGAATAAGAGTTTTAAACTCTTCATTGCACCAATTTAGCTGCAGGACAGAAAGTAACACTTAAATTCCTGTTGGAAAGATGATTTTAGTAGTCATGATGGTTTTATTTAGAACTTAGTCCCACTGAATATATCACAAATTAAAAAAAAAAACAAACCAAAACAGCCTTTACAGCCTGTAAGCACTTCTAGTGGTCTAATAATAGCAAAATTAAAGTTGAGAATGATTGTTCTCATTTGGTTACCTGTGTTTTGGCTGTACTGTATGAAAGGAAAAGATTATTGATGCCTGGAGGTATGGGTTAGCCTTCAAGTCCAGTGCTAAATATCAGAAGTGGAGTTTATTGGCTGAAAGCCAGACTGTTGCCTTCACTGGTGTGGTGTCTAAGTGCAAGAGACTTCCCAAGTATACTTATTTTAGAGTAACTCATGAAAATACTCTTCTGTGTGTACTGTCAAATACCAGTTTGAGAGCAATCATGTGTATTCATGTCTTCACTGAGGATATTTCCATACAGTTTTTCAGAATGGTTATATTGAAAATGCTGTGTGGTAATTTATCAAGCTTGATATATTTATATTGTATATCTGCTCTTTCAATAGGTGACAATATTCTGGCTGTCCTAAAATACCTAGCTACATCAGAAAAGTTGGCAAAATCTTTTGAGTATCGACATGGAAGTGTTGTGTTCTTTGATATACTTGGTTTATTTGTTCTGGCTTATCCTGCTCGTGTTGGCACAATTATGAACTACATTACAGCAGCAGTTGCTTTTTTTTATTTAAGCAAAAAAGTATTACAGCCAAAATCCAGAGGTAAGTCTAGGTGATTTTGGTTTTGTTGTTTTTTATTTTTTTTTTAATTGCATGACTCTTTAACAAATAGCAGCTACTGGATGCAAAAGTATGGTGAAAAAGTGTTCAGGCCATTACAGCATGCAGCATGCCATAGGAGTTACTTGGTGTTTAAATCTTACATCTAAGTATTTATAATGATGAAAGAATATAATAGGACTAGATGTTTAGCATTTATGAATTGTGATTTTGTCTCTTTTCATTTCATGAAGATTGAAATTACATCTTTTAAAGATCTGGAAATTGAAAAAAATTGCCTAGTGCCCATAAAATCTTTTTATTTTGTTAATTCAGATATGGTGTCAGAACCGTGTTTCTTCAACACCTGTCTTTAGACAGAACCGAGTAAGGAAAAAAATGGGGAAATGACAGCAAAGCTTAATAGAGAGTGTAAACCAACTTGAATCGTTAGACGTTCTTAGTATATGTGGGAACATGCCTGTTTAAAAGAAAAAAGGCTTAAGAAAATACACCCATCTCGTCCTCAAAAATCCAGAAAACAGTTTTGGAGTAAGAAAATGTTACAAGAAAAACAACTCAAATTTTTTGTTGTTGAGGTTTTCTGGGGGATGAGAAGGGGGACTTGGGATTTTTTTTGGTGGTTTGTTTGTTTGGTTGGTTTGGTTTAGTATTTTGTTGAGGGGAGTTTTATTTTTGTTTGGAGGTTTTGTTGCTGTTAGTTTTTGTTGGGTTTCTTGTTTTTTTTTTATATACTTAAAAGTGGAACCATGGCTCCACTCCCTAGTAAAATTTTTACTGTCAAGAAAGCTTTAATCTGCAAAATACATCAGTGTTCTGGGAATAAACCTCGCAGCAGGTATGTGTGCAAATAGACATGCAAAAAAATAGGCTAAGTGATGAAAACTATGCTGATAGGTATCTTCACTGGGGACTCCTTTATTTTGGTCATTAAAGTCGTTACACTATGGGGTGATTAAAATTTTGATGATAGTCTGCAGTAGAACAAACAAGTGTTGAATGAAACTTCTTTTTTCTTCTTCATAGCCGTTCATAACCTGAAGAAGTTACTGACTGCATTCAGCTTAACCCTGACGAGCTGGGTGTGCACACTGGTGGCAGTCCTCATGGTGGCAATATTTGTCTCCATCATTGGACGGGCTCTTTCTTGGTACACCCATTTCTATGTTTCTGTGTCACTCTATGGCACTGCAGCTGCAGCTAAGCTCATTCTTGTGCACATGCTAGCCAAAAAGTTCTTCTACAAGGTAGGCAAGACTTTGTTGTTATTGTTGAAGGGCAATGAGGTGTTTAATCTGTGGAAGACACACCTTCTGAACTGCTTAAAAAAGCAAGAAGTTTCCAGTATTTAAAATGCTACTGTAAAAAATTGCTCCATATAAACATAGGGATTGTTCTGCTAAATCAGAGCGGTAAGAGCAATGTGATTTAAGGCGGCTTTTACCTTCAGGAGATGTTTCAGACAAAAGGCAGGAGCCTTTGTGACTTAGGTCACAGCAACCCCAGGCAGTGCCACAGGCTGGGGGAGTGGCTGCAAAGCTGCCCTCAGGAAAAGGACCTGGGGGTGCTGGTGACAGCAGCTGAACATGAGCCAGCAGTGCCCAGGTGGCCAAGAAGGCCAATGGCATCCTGGCCTGTTCCAGCAATAGTGTGGCCAGCAGGAGCAGGGCAGGGATTGTCCCCCTGTACTTGGCACTGGTGACCCACAGCTCAAATCCTGTGTTCAGTTCTGGGTCCCTCACTCCAAGAAGGACATTGAGGTGCTGGAGCATGTCCAGAGAAGGGCAGTGGAGCTCGTGAAGGGTCTGGAGCGCAAATCCTGTGAGGAGCAGCTGAGGGAGCTGAGGGTGTTTATCCTGGAGAAAAGGAAGCTCAGGGGGCACTTGATCACTCCCTACAACTGCCTGAAAGGAGGCTGTACCCAGGTGGGAGTTGGTCTCTTCTTCCAGGCAACCAGCAACAGGACAAGAGGAAATAGCCTCAAGTTATGCCAGGGAAGGTTCAAATTAAAGAGGCATTTCTTTATGGAAAAGATTATCAAGCTCTGAAACAGACTGACCAGGGAAAGGGTTGGATCACCATCCTTGGAGGTATTTAAAAGATAATCTAGATGTGGCATTTAGGGACATGATTTATCAGTGGCCTTGGCAGTGCAAGGCTTAGATCAAATAATCTCAAAGGTATTTTCCAACCTAAACAGTTCTGTGATTATTCTGGTTTATAGTTGTCTTGACCACAGCTGGAGATGGAACAGAGCTCTTGCTTTTCTGTGTTTTTCTCTGCCATAGGTAAAAGTTATTTAGGTCCCTGCAAGGCTCAGTGAGCTTTGGTGTTTGTTACTTTTCCACTGCTGTCATTTTTCATGATTACTGTCTGTCTACCTGTTTTGCTTAGGATTCTTTTTATTCTAACTAGTGTGATTTAACTTGTGTAATAATTTCATAATTACAGATCATAACAGTCATAAATACAGAATCTAGAGGTGTCTGATAGATAACACTCTTCCAGGGCAGAAATTTACTACTCAGGCCTGCTAGGTTGAGGTTTTAGGTGCAGTAATATTTAGTAATTCAGCTTGCTATTACTTACTGTCTCAGCCTTTTGGGTGGGTTTTGGGCAAGGGAATTTAGGAAGCCTGAGTTGTCAGTCAAATACAAATGTTTGAAAAAATTTAAAGAACTTTGTGCCATTTGATTGTATGAAAAGTTCTAAGTGGATCCATCATGTCTTTCTCTGGAAGTGGGGTTTTAAAAATCTTTTTGTGGAAGGGGAGTGTTAACTGGTACATGCATGTTACCAAATGCATGTGTTTGGTGTTTCCCTTTGTGGTAAAGATGAAATAGATGCAGTGTTACCATTTTCCAGTCTTCTGGATGAGCTGGCTGATACTTTCATTAGCTGTTAAGAAATTTCAGGCTCTGGATCTACTTCATGCTTACTGATTGCCTAATCATCAGATCAGTCATCTGAAAATCAAAAGTGTTGCATGCTGTAGCTTGCACCACGATGTACAGTTAATGTTAGTGTTGCTTCAGTGACTTGCCTTTGACTTAAAAGTTGGATCAAAATTTGGGAAGCCAATTTCTTCCTTGGCTGTCAAAGGCAGTGCCTATTCATGGCTCAACACCTTGTGAGTTGATAAGCTTTATGTTTTGAAATTAATGTTTGGCAACGTGTATGTTTCTTCACTCTCCTCATTTTTTTTCTTGTCACCCCAAAAATGAAATAGGTGCTTTCTGATAACCATTGTTCATGCAAATAGTCCCTCTTGCTACTTGCAGCATTTGCAGTTAAGAATCGTGCACTGCAAACATTGCAGCATTGCCCATATGACTTAAAAAAAAAAAACCAAAACCAAAGCAAATCACATTTTTGATGATTAAATTTTTTCTTTTTTTCCCCCCCAAAACATGTTGTCTCACCTATGATGTCTTTTATTCAAAACAAACAATGTATTTGAATAAACAGACTTCTGAAGTGACAGCTTCTGGTATGACCTGAAAAGGTACCAGTGTAATATTTGTGCAAGTACTAGTAACAGTGATTGTGTAAGAAGTCTGTTAACAGCTGTTCAAAAACAAGTTTACACTCTCAGGAGGTCCAGATTATTTTTTTCACCCATAAGTATTGTGTAATTTTTTGACGTACTGTGTTCCTTTTTTTTTAAAAAAAGGCCCTCTTTGCTTAAAACACTAGCCTTGTGTATTCTTTTGTAGTGTCATTTGTACATTCTTCTTCCCCAGTCTATCTAATCTCATTTTCAAGTTATGTCAGCAGATTTAGAAAATTAACTAAAAAAGTATACTGTCATGGATAATTCTGTATAGTAAGAGAATGGTGAGATGAGGCTTTTCAAAATTGTTTTACCCAAGGAAAACAATTGTATACAAGGTATATGGATTTTTTTATGTGTTCTCATGAGATGGGATGTATGGAATGTGCACACTAATGAAACGTATTTCCTTCTTTTTGTTACAGAATGTGAATGAGCAGTACCTGGGAGATGTTTTTTTTGATGCCTCACTGATGATTTGGTCAATAGCATTGGCTGTGATGACTCAAATGGGCCTTTGTTCAGCGTTCATTTGTACCTTATGGGTAGCATTTCCTTTACTCACTAAGCTGATGATCCACAAGGAATTTAGCCAAAAAGGTATGGGTTTTCAGGGGCAGAAATTGTTTCAAAACTTGTACCCTTATTCTTATTTAAGCAAAAGAAATTGCAAATTGACTTTGAGTAGTCAAATTAATTAAGTCACATTTTTGTAATGAAAAAAGTGTTCTTGAACTTAAGACAGTTTAAAAGTGTGAGAAGCTTTAAAAAAATACACTGAAAAACATCCCAGGTCTCAGGCTAAAGGAACAGTATGTGAGTATATTAATGAGTGATCAGAATTTTGATGAAGAGCAAAGGTTCATAAAAATATTGTAATATTTAAAGAATACTTGGGACAGAAAAACCTGTTTAAACTTTTTTTGTAATACAAGATTAATTTTATGATGGTTTGGAAAATTATAGTGGTGTTGGCTGTGCACAGTGGGATCTCCTTTTCATATCTATGCCAGGGATGAGAACCAGTACTGTGTTTTGGGCCTTGCAGCGGTATATCTTTGTGGATAAATCTGTAAAGCTCTGTGTTTATGTCCTTCAAAGCTTTTACTTTTTTGTCTTTTGTTTTTTTCTGCTCTGTCTAGGTGCCACAATAAAGTTTATTGTGATGTACATGCTGGGGATGTTTGTTCCCTATCTGTATATGCTGTATCTTAGTTGGACTGTGTTTGAAATGTTTACACCTGTCATGGGACGAAGTGGTTCAGAAATTCCACCAGATATGGTGTTAGCAGGATTTATTGTGATCTTCACTATGATCCTGTCTTCCTATTTTGTAAGTAGAATTTGTAAATGCTGTTTTAAACCCTTAAACTTTCTCTATATTTTAGAATAAGATGGGTTTTTCAATTAATACTAGAAGTTAGTGATAATTTGACAATATCTTAAATGTTACAGAAAAGTTCTAGAGCATATGTAAAAGATTTCGCAGTTTGTGTTAGTCAAAGGAAGCTCATTGAAGCAGAGCGTATATTGCTGTATGATGGTTTAGTAAAGACTGCCATAAAATACAGAATGTAATGCTGAATTTCGAGCAGAGATTCATTTTAGATGTAATATATGATTGAACAATACATGTACAAACTTCAAAAAGAATACTGAAATTTGTGGGCTTTTTCTTCTGCCATACGACCTGGAAAGATTCTGATGGGTTTGTCGGGTTTTTTTTGTGGGTAGATGTTTTAAAAACAGGAAAGTTTGAAAAGCTCCAGGAAGTACTCGCTTTATTCCTTTTTCATAAAATAAATAATCCTAAAATCCTAGTTTTAAATGTATGAGGTGGTACTTGTCATGTCTTTTTAATATATCCTCAGTTCCATAATTGAATTTTAGAATTATACAAGTAGTGTCGTATGTAGTAGTGTCTTTTGTCTGACTGTTGCAGTTTTATAACCGAACTGTTTTTTTTATTCTCTAGATTAACTTCATTTACCTTGTCAAAAGTACAAAAACGACGCTAGTAACTTTAACTACTGTGTTTGTAGTCACACTGATTCTCGTTTGTAGTGGAATCTTCTTTCCTTACAGTTCTGATGCAGCTAATCCAAAGCCTAAGCGAGTCTTTCTCCAGGTAAGGAAAGCTTTGCCTCTTTTGTTTGCAAGAGTGTTTGGTTTTTTCAAGGCTTAGTATTCCCTTTCTTTTTTGGTTTATAAGCTCTAATGATTATTCCTAGGTTTGAAACAGTTGGTAGTGTTTCCCTAGTTCACTCTCAGTATTCAGCTCATCTGTGTCAGAAGAGTGGGATGTCTTAGAGAGTTTTAAGTGGGCGAAGTGTGTAAGCAATGGAAATTTAAAGTGACTGTGGTTTGAGGTGGGCTAAAGCAGTCATCTTCTCATTGTGTTTTTTATGGAATGTTTCTTATCTGAGTATTTCTTGCATTTATATTCATAAATACTCAGATATGTTTTCAATGTTCAGTGCTGAAAGGTCTACTGAAAATGCAGTAGACCTTAAGGATTCACATGGGGAATATTTCAGAATCACCTCTGACTGTTGCGAACTCCAGAGGCTCTGATTTCTTTTTGTGTTGTTTTTTTTCTTCTAGCACACGAGCAGAAGATTTCATGATCTAGATGGAAATGTGGTTAAAAGTGACTCTGGTATATGGATTAATGGGTTTGATTATAATGGAATATCTCACATAACTCCCCATGTCCCTGAAATAAATGACACCATTAGAACTCCATGCGAGGAGCAGGCTCCCTTCTGTGGCCTTCCTTGGATTCTGCCAGTGCATTTCATGTTCCGGTTCGTATGAGCTGTGCTTCACTTGAGCACTTCACTGCAAAGTCAAGGATCGTTTATGCAATTTCATTTATATAAGGGGAGAAAAAATAACAATCATCTTGGTCTAAAAGTAAACAATCCTTCCTCTTGAGACGACAAACTTCTGCCTAGATACTGTGTCTTCTGCCACAGTCTCTGCAAGAGATTCATGAGTGTGCTGCAGGATCTGTAGAAGTTGATGTGGTGAAAATAAATGTAAACACCAGTGGAGAAAAAGGTGAAGGGTCTCCTGAAGGGCAGTTCAGAGTAGGGGGATATATGTCTCCTCCCTTTTTCCCTTCCTTCACCGCAGCTGACAGCAGAGGATGTCTAGAGTAGCAGGTCTCCACAGAAGGAAAACAGCTGCTGTGGATATTTCTCACACCTCACGAATCTTGAGAGCAGAAGTTTAGGCATTTGAAGGTGAAAATACTCTCCCTCATTTGTTACATAATTTAAGACAGATGAAGGTAATGAATTAATACACGGGTGATTATTTTTCTATCAATATGCCCTTTGTCTGGCCACAAGCTGATTTTACCTATCTTCTGCTAGAATCAACACCTTTTGAATATTTCATGTAGTAGCAGCACAGTCAGCTGTACTATAGGGAAACTTCTTGTCTTCTGATGTTTAGTACTTCAGGGTTTTGCATTGAGGATAACTTGAAACTTTTTTTTTCTCCACAGGAAAAACTGGTATCTTCCTGCTCCAGAAATTTTGCCAAGAAGCCCCATTCAGTTTAAACTTCTGTCCAAGCAGCTGATGCCCTGGAACTCTGTGAGGTTAAGCTTCGAAGTATCTGGTGAGCGACTGAAGATTCTGGTTTATGATTTGTGTTTATTTTTATGCCCGTAATAAATCAGGCTTTGACTCCAGTGCTGCAGATTCTAGTCCCATTCCCCAAATAGTGGGCTTTCTGAGATTATCATGAATTAATTCAGTTTCATAGCACACTAGAAGCTGTTAGTGGTGTCTTGCGGTGTCTTGTCTTATTTCTGGGACTGATAATCTCATCTGTCTTGAGTAAGTCTTGATGGTTTTACAGCAGGTCCTTTCTAAGCTGAATCTTGTAGCATTTTATATGTTAGTATGTGTAAGACTGTATTATATTTATTATTATAAAATGTTCTGTATGCCTCTGTTACCTCATCATCTCACTTATCCCAATGCTCAGAAAAAATAGAAACATCTTCTGTAGAGAAGACATTTCTGTCATGCTTTGGAAGACATGAATGAGGTGCTGTTCCATGGGAAAGCAGGTGGTTATTGCTACATGTGGACACACATCTCTGTCCCCGCAGGCCCGAGCCACATGTCCCTGTATGTGCGGCCACGCGCGGGGTCGGCGCTGTCCCGCTGGTCCCTCGGGGATGGAATCCCGGTCGCCAGCCTGGGGGGAGACTACTTTGTGTTCTATTCCCGCGGGCTGCATGCGGCTCCCTGGCACTTCTGGGTGGAACTGACGGTGAGTGCGGCATTGCTGGAAACCTGGTGATGCCTTGGAACACCCTCTTCCCACCGCAGCTCCGTTCCCATCTGAAAAATGTCACAGGAGCTTCCTAAAGCTTTGCTTTATTTGGCAGATCTTAATTCTAGTGTCCCTCTTTCAATATATCAGGTTTATAGACCAGCTCCCATGTATTTTCCATGCCAACTTGACAAGCAGCCAAGGGAAAAATACTTTTCTGCATGGTCTTTTGATCAAAAGTTTGGATTTCTCTGATCTTAACTTCACAGTTCTTGAAGTTTTATCTTTACTACTGTTATTTCAGAGTTGATTTTTATTATGAGTAGTTTTCTTTCTCTTCTCTTGTTTGCATGGTTTTGGGAAATTGGTGGAAAATTTACCTATCTTGAAGCTGAAGAGAGTTGTAGAAGCTTTGTTTTCTAAATTTTCTTTTAAGTTATTTTCGGCTTTCAGCCTTGCTGTTTCATTGGGGTTTATGATCTGCCTCCCCACCTTTCTTACACAAAGGAATAATTTTTTGCACACCTGTACATTCTTACTATAGGTTTAATAGTGTCTTATCCTTTGAGTAAATATTACAAGTATCTTTGAAAGTTCAGGAAGTCACTTTTTCCTTCCTGCACCAGGCAGTCTAAACACAAATAATCCTCAAAGGATTATTAAGGCAGATAAGGCATCTCAGATGTGACAAGCCTTGCAAGACTGATAGAGGCAAAACTAGGCAAAAGGGGCTGTATATCCTCAGGATTTGCTGTAGAAGGATCAGTGTAAATACTATGTTGGAGTCCATACCTTGATTTGTCAGCAAAACAGAGAGAGACGCTGAAGTTGGAGCTTGTGGAAGCTGTGTAACACATTAGAGGCACTGTGATCTAAACATCTGGTTGCCAGTTCATTTCAAATTAAACTCATCCTTTAATCAGATTGATATATTGAAGATAGAAAGTATTTTAACATAGAGGACCAAGAACTGCAGGGTGGGTTTTGCTGCGTAGGTACTGTATGTAGAAAAGTGCATCTGAATTGATCTCGTGTTGAAAAGTCATGAACAATCATAAAGACTGTGTTGTCCTTTTCTCGCTTTCAGGTCCCAGAAAAGCATTCTGATGGAATAGTCTCCCTCGCCATAGCAGCACATTACTTTTTTGGGGAAGATCAAAAGTCACCTCAACTCTATGCCTTACTGGAGAGGTTTCCAAACTGGACATTTTCTTCTGGCTGGTCCTGTACTTATGACCTTTTTGTTTTTTAATTTTGACAGCAATGCTGCAGTGCTGATAGGGTTTTCTCTGAAGCAGAATGCCCTTGTGGCAAGCACTTTCTAACAAGATGCCAGAAACTTCAGCAAGAATTTAAAATACTTCAGCAAATGGTGTTTCTTTGGCAGTTTGACTGTTTAAAGACTACTGCTGTCTTGGGGATATAATGATACGTTTCTGAATGCAATTCACTTTGGCTCTTCCATTGAAGTGGCAGTTTGGCTAGTGGGTTTCTTAAAATAAAAACTGCACTTGATGAAGTTATATTAGCATAATAAATGGTGGCAATCACTATGGAAGGGCTTTATGGAATTATTTTAATGCTGTGTAAAGTAAAAGCATACTTCACCAATACATGGACTATCACCTCCCAAGCCTATCCGTCCTATTCAAGTCCGATCTCCAGCTAGAAGGTGTTTGTTCCTGTGGGAGCAGGGCAGAGGTGGCAAAGTCCTGAGCATTACTTTTGTCACTGGATGAAGTCACTGAAAGCATGGTACTCATGTAGGTTGCTTTGAGTCCTTGGCAAATGCACGATACAGAGAAATCAATATTATGATGGAATGTGGTAATTGTTTATCCAAATTGTATGTTTCTGTTAAAAAACTTAGTTCTGCCCCTTTTCCTGCCTCTTTGGTGTTGCAGCATGAGTGACTAAGTTCAACCTAACTACCATCTTGTGATTTTGTTCCTATTGGGATCTTTCACTATCAGCATGTGAGCATGTGACTTGCTCACTTTTATGTAAGAGTCCTAAGTCCATACTCCTTTAAGTGGCTATCTTATCATTAATCTACTCTAAATTTTAAGTTACCTTCCAATTTATTAGAATTGGCTAATTTTGGTATCTCCTCTGGAGAAATTTTTGGTAGTTTGTCCGTATTGCACTTGCTAATACATTTTACTGTTTTTAAAAATAAGGTTTCCGTTCCATAAAGAAAAATACCTAAAAGAGTAATCTTGAAAATTTGTCTAATATTCTGGATTGCTTTTATTTTATTTTCATAGGATGGATTTTATAAATGACTGTAACTGTTTTAGAGTATCTTCCAGTTTTAATTGACAAGCTGCTTTGAAATCAGAAGCCACTGACCTCTTTTTTTATACTTACCAGGTTTTTGGGGTTTTTTTGTGCAGTGGTTAGTAGTTAAGGGTAATTTCTGAAATTCAAAGAACTTGGTGTATCTGAAGGAACTTAATGTTTTTTTTTCCAAATTTTATATAAAACATTTGGCTATATCAATACCACGCTAAATATTTTAAGTGTTTTTTACAATCTCATGAATATTGCCTAATACCAGTGCAGAGCAGATTTTGTGCAAGCATCATCATTTCGAGTAGAAACATGCTAATACTGGTAAGTTTGCAGAGGACATGAAAGAAGATTGACAGTTAATTTGTGTGAGCTATGATGGATAACAACTCTCCATCTGAGGTATTTTTCCTTTTGGCTGTTCTGTAGTTGTGTGTAATAGTGGAAAGAACCAGTGTCATTGGTTGCAAGGGATGTTAATAAAGATTGTCAACTCACTCATGGACTAGGGTAAGAGGTTTAATTACTGTAATCATAATGAACTGGCCATCAGTATCTTAAAACCTGTGGGTTTATACATTAATGTGCATTAATTATCACTCACTTGATTGTATCTGATTTAAAAGTACAATCCCTGTATTACTTAAAAGTGCTACTAGTGATTCGAAGATCAGAGTTATGAACTAGAACTCCTGTGTCTTGAATCTCAATGAATGTGTTGTACTGTACTCTAGCTGATGCACAGCTAGTTAACTAAAGCTGCACTGATATTTACCATCTTCCTCAGTTTTGATTTTTGTGTTTTGCCTATGATTTTAAAGCTTTGAAAGTGCCGTGTGAAGAATGCATACTGGGAGCCAAAAATATAAAAATGCCTGTTGTTGGCAATTTCTGAAACTTTAAGTGAAGCAATAACTTCTGCTATCTCAGGATTTAATCCTTGTTAAATAATTTAATTATGAGGTGTGTCTGGTTTGTTGCAAATTTCTGTCTTTGTAAATAAAAGCAAAACTTGATTGGTGGCACTTGATTTTTAGTATGATTAAAGGCTATATATTTAAGTTGTTTTCATTCATTGCACTAATGTTTTACTTGAGCTTGGGGTAGAAATACTGCTAAGAGGTGCTGGGTTAGACACCTGGTGTTACAGCTGTGTGGAAGATAAGATTGGCCAAAGAATGCAAAAATCATCTGAATTGAGAAAAGTTAAAATGGGAGTTCCGACTGGTTTCCTGGAGAAGAAGGTGGTTTTTGAAATAAGATGTGATACAGAGAAGTCACTGATAGCCAAGCTAAGTATTCTTTGTAAAATTGATGGTTGAGACCAGATTTACGGTTGAGCTAAGAAAAAGAAACAGGATGGAAAAATTTGCTGTTTGTGTCCATCTGCTTCCCTATTCAAGTATAAGCAGATGAGTCTTCTGCTACTGTGGGTTACTATTTCTCCTAAAGAAGCATTGTGCAACTTACTCTTTGAAGTTTATGAAATAAATGCAAGCAGCTGGTAACTTCAAGGATACAAGGGCATAGAGTAGAAACATTATTTATTCTTAGTAGAGGCAGTAAACACTTGATTAGAATTACCTTATGCTCATCTGCAACAATTTATATCCACAGCATTTTGTAAATTGCTTTCTTGTTTTTCCCTTATTTTGATGGCTTTAATAATCTGCTATGTTCTCTGTTAAAATACGTATTTCTGAAGCTGAGTACTAAGCACTTCATCAGTTTAAGCAAAGGAGGCCTCTACATGTTGTGGTTATACAATGTAGTGCATCCTTAGACTGTGTCACCATACCTTCAGGATTGTCTGTCAAGTAAAAGTATGCATTTGAAGAAAGAAAGTGTTGGCATAGGTGCAAGGAGCAGGAAAATTTTAGTTATCATACACAAACTGACAGACTGTTGAGCTGAGTGTTCTGTGCTAGTAAGACCTGTCTTTAACATGTCAGTCTGGGTTAGATTGCAGTCCTCCTGGAAAAACACTAACCAAATAGACAAGATCTAACAAGTCTATACAGAGCTAGTTGTAGCAGGTGGGACATAGCTGTAGAACAGTTGTCTGCACAGCAAAGCTGTTCTGTACTTTTCTCCCTTCGAGGGCTAAATGTAATCTGACTTTTGATAATTACCTGGAAAGGGCCTGCAGGATGACCCATTTTAGAACTTGGTATGTGGTCTTGATGGAGACTGGTAGGAAGACGTGGAAGATCGGTAAACCTACGTTCTGTGGTTAGTGTCAATTTATGTAACTGTGGCTTTCATTTTAAAGACAGAACATGCATTCTCAACCTCCATGAAAATCTCTGTCAGTCTTGGGGGATAAATTGATCCTAGAAATTAGCCAGGCTCCCCTAATCACCTTGGAAGTTCTGTTGGGCTGCAACTCTTCATGGTTCTGTCAAAGCTGTGGGTGCAGCTTGAGAATATGGTAAGCATTAAAGCAGAGTCTTGAGCAGGAAGTACAAGCCAGTTTAGAGAGATCTAGACAATGCTGTCTGTATTTCAAGCATGATGTTAAGCATCAGTGGTCCTTAGCAAATATTTTTTAAAAAATTAGTTTCAGAAAGCTGAAAGAATCAGTCTTAAAAACTAGCAGTAATTCATCTAAAAATGAACAGTTCTTTGAAGCTGTTCTGAGAATGGAACAAATAGAAGCTTCAAAGCCAGTAAGTGTAGAGGTGAATTTAAGTCACCATCTTAGAAAGCTGCCCATGCAGAGTTTATTTGGAGATGGTTTCTTCAGGGGAGGGGCCGGTGGTTAGTTCTGTTTAGATGGTTTGGGTTTTGTTTTGTTTCGAGGTTTTTGTTTTGTGTTGTTTGGGGTTTGTTTTTTTCATTTGTTTGGGGTTTTTTGGGGGGTTTGGAGTTTTTTTGATAGGAAACAACTTGAAAAAATAAGGAAAGGTACCTTACGTCTGCTGTGTAGTAGCTTCAGGCTCCAGCTGTAGACTCTTAAAGTCTTCTCTCAGTGCTCTCTGAATAAGCCCAAGGAGTTCCTGTTTCAGAGGCCAGTGATAAATAGAACATTCAAGTTTGTATCTCTCTTTTCTCTGCTTAAACACTCTGATAACTTATACCACTCACCCTATGCTGCCATAGAGTACTTCAGCACTGTTCAGCCCTAGGACAGGTAAGCAAGATGAGACAGTAAGTTGTGTCTGTAGCCTTTATATTCCCACTTAATTGTGGAAAATGCATCCTTCAGTTGAAGCTTCAGACTCAGCAAGTTACCCATCATCTTTTATAGTATCATTATAGCCATAGACAACTTCTCCCCTCAGTTTATTATGAAAAGGACCTTCTTTGTACAGGTTCTGGCTAGATTGTGAATTCAGGTATTTCTGCTTAACAATGGGTCTCAGACCTGTACCTTAAAGACACTTTGGCTCTAAAACCATTTGAACTGGTTTTTTTGTTTGACCTAAAACACGCTGAGGAAAAATTAGCTTATTTGGGTTGACAGAAGCGATTGTGAGAAATTACCTTCAGAAATGTGACTTGATTTAAGCAATTTTACGAGTATACTCAGTGTGAAAGGATCTGCTAAATTGGCAGCAAGGAATAATATATTGTGCTGTTCCTGTTTTTCTGAGCAGTTTTGCACAGGAGAAATAGATCAAGAAAACTTGATGATACGCAGATTGTTGTGAAGGAGGAAATCTGACGTGAGCCAGTTTAATGTGAGCTGGATACACATAAAGTGAAAAGAATGTTGACATGTTGGAATTCCAAGAAGATGGAAGATGTTGATCTTCAATTGGTTAAGTGACCAATTTTTCCTATCTTTAGTTAAATAGTGCAGATTTGTAGATGAATAAACCTTTTGTGGTGGGTTAACCCTGGCTAGCTGGTGGGTGACACCCTCCCCTCAGCAGACGAGGATGAGAAAATTCATGGGTTGAGACTGGGACATTACTCACTGGTACCCACAATAGATGAAAAAAACTGGCTTTGGGA